CCAATGTCTGTTTGGATTCCGTTTATTTGGGGATTAATTCAAGCATTTTTGGTCTTATTAAGATGCTTTTCAACTTTTACAACTATTCTATAATAATTATAATTTAAAAAAAAACAATTATTTTTAATATATTATTGCGATAAATTAAATTGTTCATATAACAATTTTAGAATATTTATTTGATTCTATATATTAAAACTTGTAAGTTATTTGTCTTTTAATTATTTATATTATGTAATGAATATGTTTATTTTCATGATTTTTATACAAAACTAATTTAGAAGACAAAAGTTTAACTAAAATTTTGGTCTTTCGTTCAGATGCTTTAAATAGCGACCTACAGTATAAACATTTCTCATCTATGAAATAATACGTGTTAGGTTAACAGACTAAAAAAAAAATACCATGAATTTTCAGGCTTGGAATCGTATAGTATATATCATGTTTATTTTCATACTGTATTTTGAACTCTATGAAATTTAAGTTCATCATTACTATTCATGTATCATTTTATTTAGAACAGTTTTTTTTTTTTTACATAACCATAATAGTAATATCTAATTTTAACTGTATATACGTTATTACTAGTAATTTAATAACTTTAAATAATATTCCCTAAACATTATGCCCCCTCTAAAAGTTACTAAAAGTTAATAACAAAAAAATAATAATACTTTTATCTATTATATTTATCAATAATAATAACAAACCTTGCCCGTGAAATTCAAAAGTTCTATTATAAACAAAAAAAAAAAAAATTAATCAATAATGTTTCGTATAAAGCATTTTTAAAGAAAAAAAAAAATATTTTGGAAAAAAAAAAATTACATGATGTTGATCTTGATTTTATAGACATATATCGAGAATGTTTCATCAATCGAAATAAATTAGAATTCTTTTTAACATATCTAATAATAATATCAATATGTGCAGGAGTAAAATATCTTTTTGAAAAACTTAAAGATTGAAATGAATTATTCATATTCTCCAAAAAAGCTTCAAGTGATTGTGGAGTAAATAAAAAATCTCGAAAAACAAGTTCATGTAAACCAGTTGGTAAATGTTTTGCCATCTCTTCATATTTACATATAGGATAAGTTCTATCAGTAAAAGTTATATAAAGAATTTCTAACTTATTTGAAACATCTAAAAATGATAATAAAGAATTAAATGCGTTATTATCTCCATCTTTAAGTACTAATCTACAATCTGTAAGATTTTGACAATTAATTGTCATTACAGCTAAAACTTTAATTAAATCTGATTGAGGTGTTATTCCTGCAAGTCTTAAACTTTGTAATTGATTATTTGATTCTCGAATAATTTTAATAACCATATCAGCTGAAATTCCAGGATGAACATAAATTTCTAATCTTCTTAATTTACTAAAATTTGTATTTTGTAATGTACGCATCTTATCTGGTCCTATACTAACACATTTCCATAATATTAAATGACGAATATTTTCACATTCTGTAAGTTCTTTTAAATCATCACATTCAAGAAAATTACATCTATTAAATTCAATTGTATGTAAAGTTTTAGTTTGTGATGATAATGATGTGAGAAGACGTGGAGTAACATGATTTGTAAATCCATTATTCTCTGGTCTAAAACCAAGTCTAAAATGCTCTAAATTATGTTGAACTTGAATAAGATTAATCAACATATTCATTCCATAATATGTAACTTCAACATCTATTAATAATTTTTTTAAATGAAAACATTGTTGAGATAATGTAAATAAATCAATATCATGATAATTTCCTTCAATTTGAAGTGTAGTTAATCGTGATATACAAGTATTTTTTCCTGATAATGCTTGAGTAAGTGTAATATAATCAGGTGTTCCAGACCAAAGAATTAAAGTATCCAAAACATGACAATGACTTAAAAATAATTCAAGTAATTTATTGGAAATTAAAATAATGCAAATTTCACTCTCCTTAAATCGTTTTTGTATCTCGTTTGATGCAGTTTTCACAAACCAGGTATTGATTAAACTAAACATAGAACGTAAATCAAGCTGTCTTAAAAAAAAAAAAAAAAAAAAAAAAAGATATAAAAAAAAAATTGAATCATGAATTTTTTTTAATCTTTTAATAGATTATATGAAATATAATAATTACCGTAAAAACGATGGATAATCAAATAAAGTTGGATGAGAAGGTGATTTGTCAATAATAGGATATAACATCCAATTCCGAATAAAAGACCATTGAATTTGATCATCAAAGCATGCAAAATAAGTTCTGAGAAGGTATTCATTAGGTTTCTCTTTAATTAATATAAATGGTTCTCTCCATAATATCGGAATAACGATTCTACACCAAGAACGACACGTTAGAAGGCAATTATACAAAGAATTTTTATCATCCCAAAGGAATTCAAAAATTCTTGAAAGGCACTCTGGAATGGATAACGGCGAGGATGACATATCCGTTACTATAATAATTAATATTTCAAAATCAACTAATCTGTTCTAATAGGTAATGAAAGGAAAGGCAAGAAGTAAAACGCCTCTATTCACCACCTTCAACTAGGAACATATTTTCTGAGAAACTGGTAATTGTTGAGATCGTTGAAGCTTGACTCATGATCGACTTATATATTTTATAAAAAAAACAATCAAGTTAATCATCACAAGATGTATATAAATTGTTATATATATTAAAATTAATAAAAATTTTTTTTTCTTTTTTTCATAAAAATTCTCTTTGATTAAAAAAAAAGTCTTAAAAAATTCATACCCTCAATAATAAAAGCGAGCAGATCAAACAAGATCCATTAAAACACCAGCTTATATGAAAAGCAATTCATGCATTATGCATAACTGTGATCTAATGGGATTTTCTAAAATGGTAAGATCCGATAAAAAAAATATTATATTGAAGCCTATAGGTATCTCTTGTGTACACCTGTTTGTATTGTATACGCAAATAACGAATAACAGAATAAACAGAATAATAAAATTTTAAAGTCACATGCCAAAAATGTCTGATCAATGATAATCAAATTTTATATTTTATAAATTTCATTAATCTTAATAATAATAATAATAAAAAGGAATGACGATGATTATTAAAACATTCATTACTACATGCTTTAAGAAAACATATAATGAAATGTTTATATCACAAGTAAAACGACGTGTAACATTATATCAATTTAGCACAAAGATTAAGCAGATTCCTCATAAATCAAATAAATGGGAAGCAATTATCGGATTAGAAATTCATGCACAATTAAATTCAAAGACAAAATTATTTTCTTGTACGTGAATTTTTTTTTTTTTTTTCTTGGAATCAAAATAAAAAATAAATTATATGTAATATCAATTAAGTAATAATATATTTTAATAAATAGCGTCATCTACATCTTTTAATGAACCTGTTAATACCAACGTATCAGTAATTGATGCTGCATTTCCGGGAACACTTCCGGTAGAGAAATGATAGAATTAAATTAATGAATTATGATTTTTATTAGAACTAAATAAAATTGTATCATTGTTTTAATCAGCAATTAAATGCTAAATGTGTTGAACTTGCTGTCGCGACATCATTAGCATTATCAGGAAATGTTCAATTAATATCTTCATTCGATCGTAAACAATATTTTTATCCTGATTTACCACATGGTTTTCAAATTACTCAACATTATGGTAAGATAACGTTTTTTTTTTTTTGTTTTAAATGATATTTATTTTTATATCTTTCTAATTATTTTAAGATAATAGCACCAATATCTCTTGGTGGTAAGATCTTTTTAAATAATTTAGATGGATTAGAATATGATACTACAGTTAGAATAAAACAGATTCAACTTGAGCAGGTGACTCATCATAATATTCTCATAATTTTTGAAAATTTTGAATTAAAGGAAGGTCATATTGAAAATTAGGATACAGGTAAAAGTATTCGTGATATTACACCGGGTATGACCTTAATTGATTTAAATAGAGCGGGAACTGGATTAATAGAAATTGTTACTGAACCGGATATAAGGTACAAATTCATTATTACTATTATTATTATTATTATTATTATTATTATCATTATTATTATCATTATTATTATCATTTAATTGTCTCAAACCTTCCTCTTGAATTATTGTAGATGCCAGCCTTGAATCTCCGGAAATCATTTTTTCAAGAATTTTCTTTCCAGTTTTTCCTTTAAATAACGAATCATAATTTTAATATTATCGTTTATTTATAAGAGAGTATTTACAGAGAGTATTTTAAAAAAAATAAAAAATGTATTAATTACCCGTAGTATCGCCATTATTAATACAATCGACAACCGAGCCTAACTGAAGTGCAGATACTGGATTATGTGAAAATTTTATGTTTTTTGCATGAAGAAGTCCAAATAATTCATGTGTAATCCTAGTTTTTTTTTTTTTTTTATAACAAAATATTAAAAATTTTCTTAAATTAAATATTGTAAATATTATAAATATTTCATACCAATTTGAAACATGTTGTGGGTTACGATTTTTTACTGCCTATATAAACAGATCGAAATGAATATGTTTTATTTATATATTTTATGACATTCTATAATATTTTTTTTTACCTCCTCAAAATATTTAATACCTCCAGTTTCATTCATTAATACAATAACATCATGTAAAGGAATAGCATACTGTTTCATTATTCTTGTTTTAAGATCGTCCGGTAATTCGGGTAAATTATTTGATATACGCGTGAGATAATCCTTCGTTCATAATTTAACAAAAAATGTCGAATTTATTTATCTCAAAAAAAAACAAGAAGTCATTAATTACGGTATATGGTTTTAAGAATATAATTACCTTATTTAGTATTAATGGTGGCAAGTCTGGTTCAGGCATGTATCTAAAATTATTTACTTATTAATGAAATTCGAATCTAAATTATGCATAAATTTATTCTGTCTATTTCCATAATTATAAAATATATATTTTATAATAAATATCATATGAAAAATACTGATTTACTTGGCAAAGAAAGTAATGATTTTATAATTTTGGAAATAGGAAGGATATATGTATATTTTATATTATATAGTTTGATACCTATAATCAGTAGAGGTTTCTTTTTTTCTTAATCTAAATGTTTTATTATTTGCTACATCAAATCCTCTGGTCTCTTGCACAATATTATTACCATTTTCTAATTCTTTTATCTGCCTTTCTATTTCAAAATCTAATCCAATAAATGAAATTTAAACTTAAATTTGATCTAATTAAAATTTACATAAAATTATTTATATTTTACCAATAGCAGTCATTAAGAATTTAATACTATTCAAATTTTTAATTTCACATCTGGTTCCATAAGGAGTTTCATGTTCATGTACAGAAACATTAACATCACATCGTAATGAACCCTAAAAGATATATGATAAATATTATTAACCGAGATTCATAAAAAGGGAAATAATATATTCAAGAATATCAAACCTCTTCCATGTTACCATCTGAAGATCCAACAGCCCGAAGTATTGATTGTAATTTCCTAACAGTTAAACCTGCTTCTTTTGATGTCCTACAGTCAAAATTTTGCGATGTTGAATAAAAGACGTGACTTAAAATAATGATAATAATAATGATAATAATAATGATAATAATAATGATAATAATAATGATAATAATAATGATAATAATAATGATAATAATAA